CAAGATGGGCAAGTACCTAGGCCAATGGGCACCCCCAGTGTTTTGGAACTTCATCCCTGAGCAAGTGCAGAATCCTGAAAAGTTAGTAGAATATTTAGAAAAAGTATGCTGTCACCCTGGCAACTCCAGAGAGATGCAGATCATTGCAACGTGCTGGGGCCTGGCCCATGCCTACCGAGCCCTGTTCAACACCATTCAGTACTCTCAAGGGGAAGAGAAGGTCTCTGGATCTGACGATAAAATGACAGGCCCTGCAGCGACTCCAACCCCAGTGACAGGCACTGCGGCTGAACCAAAGAGCCAACCTGTGCCGGTATCAGTCACCCCTGTACACAAGAAGAAATCTTGGAAGTTGGCTCATTTAGTAAGGGAGGAAGAAGCTTCTTCTAAAATGGAGCCGGAGAAAGAAGTGTACAAGGCAGACTACCCTGGAGTAGGGCCATCACGAGAACAGGAGGAGGAGAGCCAGCCGCTGCCCGGGGAGGAAGAAGAGGAAGAACTCATAAATGAGGCGGTGACCACCCGATCCCTATCCCTGAGTGAGCTGCGAGATATACAAAAAGATTTCAGCCATTGTCCAGGTGAGCATATTGTCACCTGACTGGTGCTCAGTTGCCAGCTGAGGCGAAACCATGACATGCCCTTACATTATTTATACATATTGCACAAAAAAAGATTAAGGAACCAAAAAAATAGAAATAAAAAGAAAATATAGTATTGTATGGGAACTCTCCAGTCTATTACTTACTGGAACTATAAATTTTCTTCTACTTTCAAGTACAATGTACATCACTGGTCCATTCATTTTCTTTACTACAAGAAATTTATATTACCCAAGTGAACTGTGAAGGTTGGTGCCAATATTTATTTATGAGGCTGCTTAAATTCAGATTAAGAAATAATTTGCCATTTTGAGTAAAATAGGCTAGTTTCTCTTGCTCACATTTTCACAGAATCTCTCTTACCTAGGACTAGCACATAAGTATTTGTCTTAGTAATGCACTAAGGTAATGCACCTTACTAAACAGTTTGATATACAAATCAGCTTATATGTTATAGTACATATCTATACACGCTCACACATTTCCAGTTTGATACAAAGAAATAAGAAATTTGCACAATTACTGAGAAAGGAAAGAAAAATCTCATTCTAACAAATCAGACTTCATCACATACAAAAAAAAAAATCAAACACATCAAAAAAAGTTTATCATTGGTACTCAGACATTTACCACTCAGAAGGTTGACTATGCCCTGGAAAAGTAGGGAGGCACATGTGGAAAGCATAGACAGCTCAGTTAAATCTACTGAAATATCATGATTTTTCAGAAGCGTTACAGCTTTTTCTTCTATTACAGGAAGTACAGTGAGGCAAAAAATATTCAGTGTGCTTCTAAAAAAAGTGAAATACTTTTTAAAACAAATCATTTAAAAAACCCAGATATCTGCAGAAATAGATTCTCTTTTTTAATTTTACATTGGGCCCTGCTTTTTTAACTCATTATTAGAAATTCTTAAACACAAAAGTTAAACGTAGTCTGATTTATTTTCATACCTAGACTGATGATTGAGATCTTGGGAAGCTGTCACAAAAAGCTAAAAAAAAAATCTGCAGCCAATTACCACTGTAGATATGAAAGATTCAGAAATTGTTCATACACTCTAGAACTTGAAACCACAAAATGCCCCGCAAATTTTACAGGGTAGAAGGCAAGTAGTCATTAAATTCTCACTTCGCTCACACCACTGTAAAATATTAAAAAAAAAAAACCAAGCAAAACGAAAACAAAAACCTCTAAGATGTGGCTAGCCATATGGTTTGCCAACATTTCATTCTTCACTGATAAAATATCAGTATGAGAAAGGTAAGGCTGTATTTCATTAAATAAATTAGAAAATGTATAACTATATAATTTGGGTTATTATAGCTCAGATATCATTTGCTTTTCATTAAATAACCTTTAACTATGCTTTTAAAAATAAGAACTTACAGCAACATGACTCTCACAATCATGACATATGACTCTTCATTTTCCTCATTAAAATACTGAATGAGTAACACCCCCACTTTCTGGGGAATGAAAAAAAAAAAAAAAGATAATTCTTTCTGAGTTAAGAAACACTGAGATTCCTTTAGGATGAAGCTCAGATTTTTTTCTCCCCATTAACACTGCGTTGGCTTGCCACATACTTCTACATAGTATAGCACAATTGCAGGGCAGAGGATCACTCTCTCTACTGTAGTGTTACCAACAGCAGTATTCTGTATATAGCACAGCTGGATGAAATAAAATTTCTAAAGCAGATTATGATGCTAAAAATAGCAACTAATTTTCTTCTACTAGCCATAACCAAGAGACAGAATTTCTTTTTTTCACCTGATCACATCCTTTAAGATCTCTTGTAGCTTATCTTGGCTATTTTTCACTCTTGGCTGAGCTTTGAGAACCATCACATAGGCACCACTCTCAATTGTTAGCTTTCTTCCGGGACGGCATGACAGTTCTACAAAAGCAGCTTTAAGACCTAGTGAAAATATAAAGGAAAGCAGGAAGGAGAAAAGATAATTATGTATCATTGGAATTTGTATTCTATCTGTGCTGCAGTCTGCATAGGCTCTGCTGAATCAGGAAGAAGATGTAGAGGATACTAAGTGAAGCACTGAGGATTTAACTTGTATCAGCCATTTATGAAAGCTTTTCTACCTAAAGTTGCTTGAAATAGGACAGGCTAGAAAACAGATACAACATATGAAAACTGCCCCAGAATAGTGATTTTTTTTTTCTTTTCTTTTTTTTTTTTTTCCTCATCCAATTCCCATCTGGTCTGTGGGTCTGCATATGCAGAAGAGAAACAAAGGGCAAGGATTTAACTTCTCTTTAAGTGTCTGCTTCTAACCCAACTCTATTCAAATTGTATATTCAAAAACTTGCCTCCTTGGCAAAAACATGCTTCTCCACACTGCTATTTAAATTATAAATCACCTTTTCAGCAGAGCACAGCATACACCCCACTGCATTACTTTGTAGTTCCAGGCTTGACCAGTGTGGTCTGAAAAGCAAAAGAAGCTGTCCTGACCTCCTAGTTACCTGGGCAAGGAAAAAAAACAAACAAACAAACAAACAAAAAACTTACGCCCTCGGCATATCACCTCTTGGCTCTGTCGTGGGTAACCATCATCTTGCAGGCCCAGAAAAGGGCATATCTATGAAATCCTTGCAAATCGGTGCTCAGAATGGATGTAATTGTCCTATTCTGTATGACCACTAATCATCAAGTCATGGCATTTCCTCCATACAAAACAACCACTACAGGCCCAGGGCAAGCAAGAACAGTGTTTTCATTAACTTCTTTTACTGATGATAAGTCTATAGTTTATAGCTCTGCTAGATTCAACATTTCAGGCAGAAAGTCTTTTTGAAAGGTAGCAACTCTGCTTTGATTTCATGGCAACAGTACAGTCTTAAGAAGCCACTGAAGATGAAGAAAGCAAATCACATCAGACAGCTTTTATTCTCTATTTCCTCAAAAAGTACAGTCCAGGCTAGGATTTGAGAGGATGACAGAGGTAAGGCTTTCCTTCACATAAGAGAAAATCTTACCCCTAACCATTTTTTTCAATAATATCTATAATTTTGCTACACTTCTACCATTAAGATGTGTGACAAAGTGACCTGCCACTTGAAAAGGGGGCTGGGGGAGGAGATGAGGAAGAGAAAACTAATACTCCACATACTGCTGTTCAAGTCATCTTTTAAGAACTCCATCAGCTACAAAGTACACGGGCTTTTCCACTTTAAAAAATTGACTGCCTTTAAAATCACCAAATTCCCAGAAAGACAGACACGAGGAAGTAAATCAGACCAGAAGCCTTTTAGAACAATTTCTTTTCAGACTAAGTGAAAGCTGAAGGACTGCATAAATGGTATTTCACCTAAGCCACAATGTGATAGTCAAGAGAAGATGTTCATTTTTCTATGTGGTAATAGCACCACATTCCCCAGGCGGAGGTGACGTGCCCAGCTGTCTAAGGTCATTACATCTGGCAGCTTCAGCAGATGCAGAATGGGAATTTGTCCATTATATGTTCTGAGGGTGTATTTGCTCTTTCTCAGGAGGTTTAGGAACTGCCGGCCTTTCTGGATTGTGGGGGGAATCTTTCAGGACAAAGACAGGCAATATCAAAAGAATGTCCTCAATGGTATGCAATGCTATTTGGCTGAGGTCAGCTAAACCCTGCTCTTTTCACATTAAAGAAAACCTATCAAAAAACATGCAAGTGTGATCCACAGGCTGGAGACCCAAATGTACCATGTATTCCCTCTGACTCAAGAGGTTTTGAAAGCCCATGACCGCAGGTGGTCACTACCATTGGTGAGTGGTGTGAAGTTCGACGCTAACACAAACAAGCCAAGGCTTACGATCATGGTTAATGACATCATCATCTTAACGATCCTTAAATTTCCTATTGCTACTGATATTCAGTTACTGAGAGTTATCTAAAAATAACTGTTAAGTTAATCACTATGCAAAATACAAAAAGCCCTTCTTATTTCTTCCCTAGGACTACACCCTGACCATGTACTTCCAGCAGTCCTGGAGGGATAAAAGGCTCTCTTATTCTGGAATACCTTTGAACCTAACTCTGGACAACAGAGTGGCTGACCAGCTCTGGGTGCCGGACACGTACTTCCAAAATGACAAGAAGTCATTTGTCCATGGGGTGACAGTGAAAAACCGAATGATTCGACTCCATCCAGATGGGACAGTCCTATATGGCCTACGGTACGTTGGGTTTTTTAATTGGATATATGGCTGTCTTGGCAGAATGCAAGTTGTGATTGGTAAGTGCAGGTAGTACCAATGCTGCTCTCCTTGCCTTTTTCCTGGTTTCTTAGTGCAGCTTATGAGTCAGCAGATACTCCATCTAGACCACCATAATACATCCAAGAATTTTCCTCAGGGCATCAAAACTACCTTTAATAGCTGTAGCCATAACTAACAAAGCCTAACGCCTGTTTCTTTCAGCTCTTCTGAGCATGTTAACACTACTAATGAGTTCTTTATTATGGTTCTCACCTGGTAATCAATCATAGCTTAGACAAACACTTCCTTCCTTCTGAAATTCTCTAGCAGTTCTTTAGAACAATGTAAAATATAAAATTGGGAGTCATCTGAAGAAATGTGACCAGCATTTGGTAGGGAATAAAAAGAGGACATTTGAAAATTTACATGAATTAAGGATTATCTATACATCTGAGTACAGGTTTTCTTTAATCTGCCTTGATTTATCACTGCCTCTTCACACTGTAACTGCTTCTTCATACGGTGCAACCTATGTTCAACCCCTGTAGATAAAAATATATTCTAAAATCTGAACAGGCGCAATCTAATGATAAGGTACACAAATGTAAAATTAAAATTAAACCAAGTTATTTGTTATGTTGAAGTTGCTGCAGAGCCTGAGTACACTTTGAATTAAAGTTAAGGTAGCTTAGCTTGGAAAAAAAAACCATCCCCTGCTTGAAACAACCTTTGATCACTGTATCATTCAACAGTGAAAATAACGTCCAGAGAATATAAACCTGAAAGCATACTTCAGTTAATCAGAAAAAAATCATAAAGCATCAAACCCAGCTGAAATACCTCAAAATGGTACTTAAGACAGGACTAAAAAAAAACCCCAAACTGCTGCAGTAATTCAAAATGAAAATAATATTTGGGGAAAGATAACTTAGAGTTTACTGAAAATAAAAGTTTGAAATGACCTCTTAGCCTATAAAAACATAACCTTTTAAAATACAACACTACCCATGCACTTAGAAAAAGCCTTCCACCCCATCAATTCAAGCATTTAAAAATTATTATTTTTGTTCATCATAAGTTTTCCTTTGAACTTGTCAGATTCGCAGGCAGTGCATCAGTCGCTACCAAGGACCACACAGGCACTTTGCTACAGCCAGATCTGTTCTAGTACAGAAAAACTGCTACTTCAGTTGTGAAAAAGAAAACAAGGAACCCATGAGGAAATAGCTGATAGACATCAGGCTGTCATTATCGTCTGCTAAACAAAGCATTTGAAAAATACATCTTTCCCATTGCCTTCAGACCTCCTACAGTTCCTTTCAATCAAACTGACTCCTGAAAATCAGCTTAGCAGGGCAGTTATCATTAGAGGGCTTTTTGACCTAAGAACTTTTCAAAAAAAATTTTTTTTTCCCTAAGGCCAGGAACTAAATTTATTTACATTCCATGATTTGCACAGTGGCAAGAATGTACATTAGAGCCAAGTAGTCCCTCACAAGCAGTTGTATACAATATAAACTACACCTAGAAATGTATGCCATGCACGTACTTCCATATACGTGCCATACATCTGATATCAATAATTGTCTTCTGCAGAGGTAGCAAAAGCTGTGACACATCTGGTGAACCTGCTGCAAGTCTTCTCACGTGCTTCATCCACAAAGCACCAGCCTGGCCGAGAAGCTGTGACCCTGTCCGAGCATAATGCCTGTGCTCTTCCTCTCAGAGGTGCTCAGGCAAACCTCCAGTGCAACAGCAAAGATGGTCACCTTCACATAACGAGGTTGCTAGTTCATATGGTTAAATAGCCATCCACATTTGAATGGTTTAGCAGCAGTTCTGCAACTCTGCAACAGCTGCAGCTCTGCAACTTAATACTCCATCCAATACCTCACTGTTCTGGGTAGGAAAACCAAACAAAACCAAAAAAAAGAAAAACAAACAGAAAAACCCCACACATAAAGTGCAATCTATATTCCACACACTTGCACTCTAGTACTGGGCGATTCCCTTCTCCTCCTTCACCACTGCCTCATGCCCTTAATGCATGCTGGCACAGGGGCAACCTGGGGCTCGCCCAGGCTTCTGGACTTCCCCACTTTCTCACCCCAGAGAAAGCAGCAGGGGCTCAGGCTGCAGCAGGGCCAAATATTGACAGATATGACCATCTCCACCAACAGCTTTGTCATCACCAACCACGTGCAGAAAGAGACATTCCGCTGTCAGGTCTTTTTCACAGCTCAAGCTGATGTGCCGTGTTTTCTCCAAGGACAAGGCAGCTGTTTAGACACATCTGATGAGCAGACTTTGGTCTGCCAGCTGCCAGTGAACACACATGTAGTGTCCCCATCCCACAAGAAAGATTTGATCAGAGACAAAGATAACAAATGAGCAGAAGAAAGAATGAAGTTAAGAGACACTGAAACAGGTTTCATACAACAGATGGCAATTACTGCACTAAGTTTGCATCTATTAGTGGTCACTTTCCTCATGGTAATAAATATGCTTCTGTCAGCCTACAGATTACCTTTAGATCATACAAACAGCAATTTCTTCATATACCAGATGACACATCTGCCTCTAAGAAATAAAACAGGAGAAAGCACTGCAGAAAGTGTTCTTAGGTAAAATTCAGCATTGCCTGTTAGAAATTTGAGCACAGGTCCAATCTTAGTCTCATGAGTAGAGAAGAAACTTTGCAACATACTAGCTTGCGTTTGGCTTCTGTGCAGTAAAGAGTGTAAAGACAGTATCACCAAACCTCTCACAGAGGTGGGAGTTATGCTGTGACCTGTGAGTTTCACTTTCATTACTGAAGACAGAGCATTGGCCTGGCATGATTTGAACAAGACAGACACCACCAATTACACTGCAGACCAGGGTCTGAGTTCCCAGCAAATTAGGGAGGGCTTCAAACCATCTCTCAGGGATGATTTAAATGCTTGCTTTCACCCGTGCCTCCTATTCCCCACACAAATTTTCTATTTTCAGTCCAGAGTTAAATGTTTCTTTTCAGGCTCAGATATGAAATTTTACTGGCTTCTTTAAACAGGAATTGGAACAATCACAGCAGCTTTAAATAACCTGCTTTGCTTGCATCCATGTACTCGGCAGTTTGGCATCGATGCAACGTTCAGTCTCAACAGAGTTGAGGAAAAATAAAACAAGGTTAATCATCTGGCTTTACAGATGAATAGACAAGGGAAATATACATCAAATACACTGGACTGGTTTTAGATCATATAACAAAGCATTATCACTTCAGTACGTCTCCATTATAGTATTATTTCTATCATGAAAAAAAACAGTCCCTTTAGCTATTTTTACCAGTAACTTTCAGCTGCTATATCCTCACAGTTTAAAGAACGATGTGTGCATATAAACTTGTACAGACACAGAATACTCCTAAACCTTCTGCCCTCTAAAATTGTGCATTGCTGTTATGTCTCTTACTACAAATGCTACTTCTGTTAATTATTCAGTCATGAATAATGCATAACATTACTCAGAATAACTCTTCCATCCTACTGCCCAAGCAAGTAAACACACATAAACATATTTAACTGCCCATTAATATTTGCACTGAATTCCATTTCAAATATGCCAGGGAAGTTGAGTGTCACTGTTAAGTATTATGTACCTGAAGTGCATGATTCTTCAGTTTCTATCAAGTACTCCCACCAGCCGCTATTATTATTTTCTGTGGTATAGCCACCTGCTTCCTAAGAGAAAGAAAAAAAATCCCTTTGAGTCAATGTGCAAACCTGCAGCACCATGAGGTTCATGTCTGAGACAGCTCTAGGCTGGTCCCAGTACAGCTGGTAAAATACTGGATTCTTCTTTATTTTTTTCCCATTTTTAATAAGTCATCAGATCCCATTAGCTATAACCCTTTTGGCACTAGCAGCATCTCTCGTTACTTTTATTGCCTTTTCAGGCAAGATTCTCTAGCTCTCTCAGAGCTCTAGATTCTCAAACCAACACATGCTGTTGTTTCTTTTGCTCATCCTTTCTCCCTCTTTCCTGGGTAAGATGCTAGAGATGTGATCTGTCTTTAAGATATTTAAGGAAACATTATTAATTTATTGTATTAAATTCCATACTCACATTCTTATGTCATGATGTCAAGAATAGAAGCTCTGATTTAAATCATCCTTTCCTAGTATTTTTATGCCACCTCTTAATTCTCAGCAGTTCACTAGCAGAACAATGACATCTTATTGCTTCCAAGACATCTGTTCTGTTATCATGATATTGCCTCAAAATAAACATCAGCAGAATTTCATCTGGTGTGATGAAAGAAGCATAACAACAAATACTTTTGAAGGATAAGAAGCACAACCTTCACAAGCTTCAGTGATACCATTACACAGATTACCCTTCCTTCTAACGTTCAGACACAAACCCATCTTTCATTAGAGCAGGACTTCATTTATTTCAAGGCAGGGGGACTGAGCATATCGTGACAAGCACGTGAAGGTCTGGCTTGGAGCACCAACCACTTTTGGTTTTAGTGAGACCACGCATTTTTATACTGCTGCAGCAGAGGATGCCACTTTGCTAGGCACTGCTACAACTGCAAGGGGACAGGGGTGAAGGATGATCTTTGCCTTCAATGTAAGGGCTTATTTCACCACTTCTTACAGAAGGAAGGTCTTCTGTGACGTAAACACTGTAAGAGACATCCATCTACCTCCAATCAATTCACAAATGTGAATTGACCCATGCAACGTTGGATTTACTAACCACTTATTCATGCAATATCCATGGAAGTCCATCTAGCATATCCTAAAGGTGGAATACAAGAAAAGCTATATTTAAATGCAGAATGCTTTTGTTTTAAATATAGTCTTAAAAGTAAATTCAAGTGTAAACTTCCCTTTCTTGACTGTCTCTATTTTAGTGATATATCCGAGAGTTACTAAAGAAATTTGCTAGCCAGGAGCTCACATCTTTTAGTGCAGTGAAATTTCACTACT